ATTTTTCTCCGTTGCGTGTCGCTTCGTGTTGAATTTTCGTCGATGTTAAACCTAACGAAGACTATTGTATCGTTAAAAATTATTCTTTTATTTTGTACAAACAAAATAAATATATTGAAAAATATAAGAACAATAAAAAATTATACTTCAGAAGTAAATTTAGTATCAAAAACGTATAATATTTGAGTAGCCCAAGACATAGCCAAAGATTGCAACGCCACAGCACTGGCGAAAATTTAAATTTGCCAACTGGAATTCTTTCGGATAATTGACGTTTCAGATAATTGACTTTCGGATAATGGACGTTCTACTGTATATATTTTGTATTTCAATCACACATTCTCACACACATCACACCTATAATACATTATATGTATTATAAGTGTGATATGTGTAGTAATTCTGACGTGTATATAAATACAATCGAACCTTCAAACAAAGGTCACTGGCATGAACATACAATTCGTACGGGAGATACTTTGTATACATTTCAATAACAATTATTCTATAAAAATTGAAATTATTTCATAAAAGATGTGTCCATTATTTGGGATTCGACTGTATTTTCTATTATAATTCAGCGGCGCGTTATCCTATACGCAAAAAAAGGCAATTGCCTGGAGTCCCTAACAACCGAGGTCCGAGAACGAATTTATAACAATATTTCCCCCAAAAATTATCAATTTGAAGTCAACACTGTACACGGCCTCTCAAATTCAAGTTTACCTCGGCTCGTGAAGCTATAACGCGCTACTGTTGTAGTTACTTAAAACATATTTGTATAAATCTTTTCATTTGTACAGTATAAATATACAAACCAATGCTGTAAACGATGATAATCCCCAAGATAAACGGATAAAGATAACGAGTGAACATACACTAACAAAACAGAATCCAAGTTTTAATACGAGTTCCATTTTTATAAATAATCCGACGTAAACTAGAAAACAAACAATATGCAACATATGAGAGTATACAAAAGGCAGAAGCACATCCCATTTTTCGTTGACATTTACGAAAAATTGCCAAAGTTCAATGTGTTTCTCCAGTGTTTCTTGTAAATCGTGTCTTAGGGAATCTCTTCGCAAATTCAATTGTGTTAAATCTTCAGACAGCTCGGCAAACCTTTTACTTATAATATATACGGCAATTGTCCATATTAAAATTAAATAAAACATTTGGCCGATGCTGTAAGCAATAACTAATGTATGGAACACGGAACAAATCAATGCTTCTGTATCGGTTCCATTTTGTTTCTTTATTTCCATAAAAAGTGAAAGGCTGACAATCATAGAGAACATGGGGATTAGTACTGAAATTACAAAAACACATTTTCTTGTGTATTTGTGTAATTTATCACATACTTTCGACTCTTCACAATAAGTACTTTTTATGTAATGCAAATACATTTTGTTCCTTTTCAGTATACTGTACTGACCAGCTATGTACTCCATAAAAAACAAGCTGATTATCGCTGCGTGTAAGGCGTGATCGTTATAAATACTAAGAACTCTCAGTGCATATATATGAAGATTGTATATTCTCAGTAGGTATAGAGCACACGCTATCCACAGAAAGATTTCGATAAAATTCTTATAAATTTTAAACAGGAACGATGGGATTTTCCTTTGTTTTTGGTTCCCTTCTATAACGCATTGACAGGAGATGCGTAAGTCAAATCCAAATACTTTTGCAGAATTAAACAATTGAGATAGAATGTATGCCAGGCATGAATACTCGTAATGCATTTGAGGCATTGTTATTAATGAATTCTGCATTTTTTTATGAATAATATAAAATCAATTCGTTAGGGTGAAATGAATTCTACGCCAGTGAGAGTGTTTGCCTCATCTCATCTGTATCTTCACAAATTGTGAGAAGAAATCATATGATTTCGATACTGACATTTCTGTTATAAAATAAAATTATGGCCAAATGTATGTGAAATATTCTAGATATTTTAATAGGAAATCCTAAATGGATGGCATTTTCGTGAGTCTATGACATTACTAAGCACGAGAGATGAACATAATAGATATTGGATTTTTCTGTTTAATTAATTAGCGTATTAGCTAGGCATTAAATTTAGCAGAGTATTGAGTAATAAACCTCTATTAGTAGCTAGAACACTTTAACTCTCTCCACCGCTGGGAAAATTTGGAAAAATCCCTTATTAGTGTACAGTACTGTACATTCTCATGACGTACTGTACTTTCACTGTGTGCCAAATTTCAACTTTCAACTCTTAACCGTCTGGGCTCTGCGCTTATTATTATTATTATGTTGGGTTTTGTGAGTTATACTCGGTTGACATCGTTAGCTGTGTACTATGCAGGACCAGAGTCGAGGCATAGAGACCAAAACAAGGCAAAAATTAAATGAGTGATTATTTTAATTAATTAATTAAAATATTAATACTACATACATTACGGAGCTAATTGGCTCAATTCGCATTCTTGATTAATGCGTTTAATTAAAATTCTTTAGAAATTTTATAGAGAAATTTTACTATCGTGCTTAATGACAGCTATAGAATGTCCAGAATTTTAATTAGAAATACAAACCAGAATGTGATCACATGCTCTTATCAAAATTACTTTTATATATACAGATCCATTAGCGAAAGTTTACTGACTAATGAATGAATGCTTGCAATACTGAACACCAAAGCCTTAACTAGAGCATTTGATACCAGGGGAAAACTTAAATATGGCGCCTTTTAGATAACCCTTTTATTAGTCTTTAACATATTTAAAAACATAAACATAATTTAAACACTTTGTGTTAATATAATTTGTTTTAATCGTACGTGACGGTTTTCTACAAATTTATCCATTTGTCCATGTAGCAATTTAGAAATTTTGGTTCCCTGGGTTCGTGCCTCCTTTGTCTCTTCCTTTCCACCGGTTCTGATGAACACAACACTAAATGATCGAAATGCAACTATATTTGGTACGGTGATATGTAAGCATATGCGACATACATTTACATAAAAACACATAATTAAAAGCCAGTAACGCTTGTATATCACGAGGAATACTCTTTATACATTTCTTTATTTTTGTTCTCATAAATGCGGCTATGCTGCCATACCTTACTAAGAATTTCTCTCTCTTTTCTTTTTGTGGTAGATAGTTACTTTTTTTCATCTACAATGTTGCCATTTATAAAAAAAAAAACTTATTAAGTGTTTCAGATATAATAGACAATAAGAATAAAATGAAAAATATTTATTCCTTAAGCAATATTACGTAAAAAAAAGAAGAAAATAGTACAAAAAGTATTATTTTAGTCAATTGGACTAACAATTTGGCAAGGTACTGTAGACTCTACATTGACCTCGGTCATATCCTTATAAAGCATGTGTCCTTTAAATATAAAGCTGTGATTACCTGTAGGGCTGCGGCTGCAAGAAGAGTGAAGGGTCGAGAGGATGGTAAGTGGGTGGTATCGACACCTAGACAGACCCTACGATTACAAGAAACCATTTAATTGACACAAGATTTCCGCCATCTTGAAAGTTCAGAGCCAGTGGCGGTTTCTGGGTCGTCTTCCTCTTTCCATAGTCCCAAATAAAAGAGTGTCGGTGGATCGTGAATGAAAGTTTTTTTGATGTCTTAAAGGTTCTGGGACAATGCGGTCGTATTTGTTGATGGAAAAATTCGATCCGTGGAAGGAAAATGAAGATGAAGATAAGCACGAGACATACACAACCAGTGCCGGCCCGAGGCAAGTTTTAGGATGGAGCAAGATCCCATTATGGCGCTCCCTTAGTTGCCCCTAATTTATACCCTTTAATTTTCTCTACCACTGAGGCGCCTCCTAGGACTTAGCGCCTGGAGCGACTGCTCCGTTCGCCCTATGGTAGGGCCGGCTCTGTACACAACAATTAGTCCGACACTTGAAATTTTTAGGAGAAGCTATCGTGTCCTTACAATTCAGAGTATTTATTATTATCTGCCCCACAATCGCCCATTCCGATTGGTCCGCATTCCTTCTGCTCACTTTCTGAGTGTTCGGTCACTCATTACATTTCTATTCCCAATAAATAAACCATAACAAAAAGTAAGCAAGAGATACATAACATTTTCTGGAATTAAAGACCCAAATAAAGAAAAACAATCTTAGCACCAAAGTTTCTTTGGCTGTCATTTGACGATCGGTTGAATAAATTACCATACCGGGGGACAGGGACCCAGAGGTTGGCTTTTGAGAAGCATTTGCTTGTGTTGTCAGTCGTGTAATTTATAGAGCATGCAAATGGAATGTAGATAGGCTGTTGGATGTAATGATCGTGTCGTTGCTGGAACCGGTGTGATTAGTATGAGGGATCTTGTTATTTCAATGATTGGATGTGAAGTGTTTGTATAACAAGGATGAAAAATTTTTTAAAAAATCTTTCTTGTCTTAAAATAAGCCAGCTTTCCCGGCAACAATTAAAATTTCGGTGGAGCCATCTGTTATCATATTTTATTTAACAAAGTTTTTTTATTCTTTTAACTGTTATAAAATGGCAGAAATCTTAATTTTGAAAGTAAGGATGAGTTTTACAAGAAAAAAAAATGTAAATGCTAATAACGAGTAAAATCGTCATTAAGTCCGATCATACTGGAGATAAACACGACCCCCATTATTTAAAAAAACAAAATTTATGCATATAACAAAGAAAAACACGAAAATATTTTAAAATATAACTGTTAATTATAAAAAATAACTAATTAAAAAGTTTGGGAAGTAATAGCATATGTGCATAGTAAGTTAAACGCTGTTTTATTTCGTCAATGTGCCATACTGTAAGGGACAGGAAATTTGTACAAAGTTGGTCAGGAGAAGTCAGGGAATCCAAAACAAAAATTTTAGTAGGAACCCTTGTATATTGCAAGAAATGTAAAAGAAACATTTATGTTTAATGCTGTAAATGACAGAAAACACTAATCAACCACATCGATTACTTCCAAACACCGGTCGAATGGCATTGGACATGTCTTTTGTAAAAAAATTGCCCAATGATCTACCCAGTGTTAAGCATTAACGGGATTCCGCAAAAGCCTCTAGGAGCGGAACCCCCTGAAAAAGTTATCTTCTGGATTGTGCGACCCCTGAAAAATCACGGGTCGCACAATCCAGAAGCTAACTTTGATAAAATCTGTTATATCGAATGCAGAAACAAGCACCATTCTTATAAAGACTTTATTTGTGACTGAAAAGTTTGAATTTCTTCTAAAATTTACGACTCTCCGTCGCATTTTAACATAAACAAAAGTGTGTCTTGCTACAGACATTTTTTTCCCTTACTGTTTAAAACAAACAAAATTTTTTTATAAATTAACTGAATTTCGTGACACTTCGGATCTCACAATTACGTATAATTATTACAGATTATGCACGGGAATAATTGTGAATGTTAATTTTCTTCATTAACTTGTTCGTTAATATTTTTTTCGGGGTTTTTCAATCGTTCTAATCAGTGGCCGAACGGTTAAGTCGACGGACTACCCCTCTGGAGGTCCGAGATCCAATCCGAAATATCCAGGATGTTTCCGGGGTTGGTTTGTTTCAAATACGTAGGGCTCCGTTCTCGTCACTCATCCCGATCTGACGCATAACGGGCTGGCAAAGAAAGGCCGTCTTAGACGGAAAGATTTAAGAAATAACAACAAGGGTCGATCCATACGATAAAATATTTTCTTGCAACTGATTGCATTCTCACATGATATGATTCGTAGTCACTGTGTATAATACGATATTATACTGTAAAAAATAAAAAAGTCGAAGTGTCTGTTAGTAAAAATATCATGGAAAGATTAAGAGGATTAAATTTTATAAAATGACTCTGAAAGTTATCTAAAGATTAAGAAAATACTATATTTTAAATATAGTTATATACAGTAGAGCGTCGATTATCCGAATCGATTGGGATTGTAGTTGTTCGGAAGTTCGATGTTCGGATAACCGATTATGCACGAAAAAATATATTAATTTATCCCATCTTGACATTTTTCTCCGTTGCGTGTCGCTTCGCGTTGAATTTTCGTCGATGTTAAGCCTAACGAAGACTATTGTATCGTTAAAAATTATTTTTTTATTTTGTACGAACAAAATAAATATACTGTATTGAAAAATATAAAAACAATAAAAAATTATACTTCAGAAGTTAATTTAGTATCAAAAACGTAAAATATTTGAGTAGCCCAAGACATAGCCAAAGATTGCAGCGCCACATCGCTGACGAAAAGTTAAATTTGCCGACTGGAATTCTTTCGGATGATTGACTTTCGGATAATCGACGCTCTATTGTATCTTCTATCTCTTTACTTTGTTCACATTTTTCGAAAGATAAGTGCTCAATTCTTTTTATCTCTTTATTTAAATATTGTAGTTCTTTAACTAAAGCACTACTTACGGTTGTAACTGGAATTAAAGGATAGATTATGGCGTCAATGTTTCGCTCGAGCGGAAGGCGTTTCTAAACTATGATGCAGTGACGTGTAATGCAGTGATGTAGCTGCTCGTGACGTCATTTTCGATACACTCTCGCTGCATAAGGAAACGCGGCCTTGCTAAACAAGCGATCAGTAAAAAAAAATCTTAGCTGTTCACTGTATGAACCCGAACCTGAACTAATTAGAGCTGCAGTACAAGGAGTTTGCCACCAAAAATAGTCTATAAGAAGCGACAAGAAGAGCACAAAGATTGTGCAGTACTGTTAATGGAAAGAGAACAGAGTAACTGTGAAATAACATTAACTACTATGTACAAAATTAAATAATAAATGGTTTTTTTAAGTTTGTATTATAGTGTCTCTAATTATAGAGAGGTTGCGGCCGACGTTTTCAACGCGAAAACGTGTCCGTCGGACGTTCAGCTCCGCCTTCCTGTGAGCCTAGAAGTTTAACAATGGCGTTTGGAACGTCAGTAGAATCATGCTCGAGGTTCCAAACGCCATCGTCAAACTTATAGGCTTACAGGAAAGCGGCGCTGAACGTCCGACGTACACGTTTCCGCGTTGAAAACTTCGGCCTCGACCTCTCTTATAACAGCATGAATGTACTATGATAAAAAAATTTATAATTACATTTTAATCATGAATTTTTCTGCGTAAGTAATCTGAGTTTTTAAAATCCCCATCTGGGTTTTTTCCCATCCAGACCCAAGTTTTTTCATTTGTCGCCAGTGGCAACTCTGGATTTAACCTTCAAAATTATTGGTTATGCTCGTGCAGAAATGAGACAACGTCTGTGAATAGACGGCGTGTCGACGACACCCATCAAATATAGTTGGACCTATTTTTGTCTTTTTTTATTTATTATTATTATTATTATTATTTATTTTTAAAATAGCTTCTATTCTACACGAACATTTCCTTCGACAGATGACGCGGTAGACGATTCGAAACTAGAGTAAGCATCCGTTAGAGGTCGCAGAACGTCGAACATTTATCGTCTGACGTTTATCTTGTTAGTCACGAAAATTCTTCTATTTAATGCGAATTCGTAAGAATAATGGAATATTCAAAAGGTATGTTATAACTGTTGCTTTATTAAATTCGACTTTTGTTTAAATAAATCATTTAAAACATATTATTCGCAATAATAGATGATAAGAGACGAATTAGAATCGTCTGCTACTTAGTCGCCATCTTTAATTTGTTATTTCAGAACCTGTATACGTAAATAGCCCCTTTGTATTTATTTTTTAAAGACAATTAGCAGCAGAACGTGATGCATAATATTATAATAATGCAACATTTTAATTACAGTCGACTCCCCTATAACACTGTTGATTATTCCGTTTTATAAGAATTCCATGTTGTATGAGTCACTTAGATTTTACAAATACGTGTGCCAGGCTGTGAATGGCTCACGTATTTGTAAAATCTAAGTGACTCGCACAACATGGAATTCATATAAAACGGAATAATCAACAGTGTTATAGGGGAGTCGACTGTAATTAATATGTTGCATTACGACTGTACGTGAGCCATTCACAGCCTGGCACACGTATTTGTAAAATCTAAGTGACTCATACAACATGGAATTCATATAAAATGGAATAATCAACAGTGTTATAGGGGGTCGACTGTAGTCATCAAAGGGATAGTAGTAGTAGTAGTATAGTAGTAGTAGTAGTAAGACAGGTATCACAACCTGTGTTATGGAAAAAGGGGGGAAGATGGGGTGGGGTGAGAAAGGAAAGAGGATGAAAAAAAAAAAGGGTTGGGATCCATCAAAGGGGTAGGATGTGAACTCTGAATGGGGGGTTTTCAACCCATTCCAGAAATTGTAGAACCCTATTGACCATGTCTAAAAGTAAACAAAGTCTGAGGCAAGTAAATATTACTTCAAAACAGTATTATATTTAAATTAAAATTGATGATAAAGAAACTTTCATTTTGTTTTTTATTAAATTTAATTTTTTAGGAGCAGTAATCCCATCTTTGGCTAGCCATTCACTGCCTAATTTTCTAGAACCATTTAAAGTTTAATTAAATTATTTTTTAACATTTTTTCCCTTTGTGTTTTATTAAATACAATTTTTTAAGAGCATTATCTTTGGCTAGCCTTTTGCTGCCTAATTTTCTAGAACCATTTAACCATTTAAAGTTTAATTAAATTATTTTTTTTAAACATTTTTATTAAGTTTTTTCCCCTTTATAAAATTCTATACATAGGATCTCTTTATACAATAGGCTATATATATAAAATATACAGGGTGTTTCGAAACTCGTGGGAAAAAATGTGATAGACCAAGGGTGGGCAACCTTTTTTATAACATGGGCCAGAATAAATTTTACGTTTTTTCCATAGTAGTTAATTGACACCTTGTGACCTGTAAATTTTTAGTTTGCAAATATGAAATAAATAAATAAAAAGAAATTAATTACTACAGTCGACCCCCCCGTATAACACTGTTGATTATTCCGTTTTATATGAATTCCTTGTTGTACGAGTCATTTAGATTTTACAAATGCGTGTGCCAAACTGTGAACGGCTCACCTATTTGTAAAATCTAAGTGACTTTAAACACAATAAAAACAGTCCTATGTAGTTGGATACGACAGACATTACATTTTCTAATTGCATAGCTTTTGCACATAGATTTTCTTGATGGATGATGCGATGAGATATAAATAATTTACAAACATTCTGTTCTCCCATTTTTTGTTTGAATAAGGAAATGACTCCCTTATTTTTTCCTGTCATTGCTGCCGCAACACTTCAGAAAATAATATTCAATTTAAACTAGACGAATTACATTGAAAAATATTTATCTATAATTTCTTCTAAACATCTCGCGGGCCGGATAGAAACTTTTCGCGAGCTGTAGCTGGCCCGCAGGCCAGGGGTTGCCCACCGTTGTGATAGACTAACATTTGAATAAGCAATTTTCACCATACAGTGCATGGGCGGAGAGCAAGCAGTGAACCGCTAGACAGCACTGCAATGGAAAGCATAAAGCGTGAGTTTTCTTACACGTCATCATTTCTATCATGGATTTCAGAAGACATGGCAATTGTACAGTAATCAGGAAAAGGCGTACATTGCTGTTTTGAGCAGTTTCTGTAATTTTGCCACACATGCTGTCAATAAAATTATTTAGTACCAGCTCTGTTCATTTGATGTTTCGTTCTTTTATGTGACAGTAACAGATACCTCCTAGCGGTTCACCGCTTGCTCTCTGCTCATGCATTGTATGGTGAAAATTGCTTGTTTAGATGTTTTCTATCACCCCTTAAATTTTTACCCATGAGTTGCAAAACACTCCTGTATTTCAAAATTATTTTGTATGGAGCATTAACTTCATGTAAAAACCCTGTAGAAAATTTTAAAAAATCAAAAATATTTAATTTAAATATAAATAAGAGTTTTTTGAGTAATTGTAGACACTTCTGAATAGTATTGAGTAAACAAAGCAAAAATAAGAGAGGAATGTTGCACTTTCTTCTCTAAAAAAAGTGTCAAAGAAATGGAGATGATGGTCAAATTAAATTTAGTTTTATGTATAAACAGTAATATATCCTTAACAATAATTTTATGAGACAATATAGTTATTTAAAGAAACATGACTGATACACACAATGTTTTTCGTATCAATTATTAACACAACTTCCACGTTCTACCAGAAGTTGAAGAAGGTCCAATCAGGTGACTTGCCTCAGGCTTTGTCTACTTTTAGACACAGTCAATACCAGCAAAAAAGTCAAAGGACCCATATTTGTATATGTGACCCATCATGAGATATTTGCTTACAAAGATCAGTTTCTACCATGAATCAGTATACTGTGTAATCTCCATACCATGTGTGTGTGCGCACAGAGAATAGGCAATATAAGGTGCAAACGACAGTGAGAATTTTGTTATTTAATATAACTTAAGTGTATCTTAACATGAATTCTTGGATGCCATTTATATTATGTGAATGTTAATTAGTGCAGTGCAATTAGTGCAGTTTTTATTAATTAATTTGATTTAAATTCAATTGGACGTATATCAAAAAACAGAAGTAATATCTTTCCCTCATATGCATTGAAATCTAATTTAAATAACATCGTCGTCACTGGTTTGTGTTGTGATGTCTAATGATGTGAGGTGATCTTGGCGCCACTAACTAATCAGTAGACTTGTCTTTGATTTGTTAGGCTGTCGTCTTTCTTTAACAAAGGGAGTATATAGAATTGACTGTCTGTGTCTTTCTAATCTGTGGCTGGCTCTTGCTGCGTAGCTTGTTCAGCAGCCGAGTTATTGTATTGTAACTGGGGCAAATAAGGAGTTCAAAATTTTGTTTGTTAACCAAATTGTTCGATAACTGAGGTATTCGAAACCCAAGGTTTCACTGTATCTTGACTTAGACTGTACTATGGCTTGAGTAAATTGTGCATTTGCATGGGTGCTGCTAACAAATACAGCAGATTAGGATATTCATGCTCTGTCTTCTGGGTAAAAAACAAAAGAAATCTCAGAAGTTTGGAAGTAAACATGAAAAAATTACTGTGTTAATTTTTACATTACTCCAATGGTGTTAGTGCATATGACACCAGAAGTCACATGCCAACAGAAAATAAACATGCATCAATGGGAGTTAATAGTCAGAGATGGGGAACATTGTTTTAATTTCCAGAAGAATCATAGCTCTTAGTTTGGTCCTGATTTTAACTAGGTCAAATTATTCAAGGTCTAGATTAGGGGTATTTAGCCCGCGGTTATTGGGCCGCAAGTTCCAATGCGGCCCAATAAACGTGTAAAGAAAACCGACGAAGCTTTTCGTTTTATTTTATTTATTTATTTCAACAGCCTAAATTCAAAAAAAGAAGTTTTACAAAGTTGTAAACCTTTATATATATTTTATTTTTGAGTGGAAAGGAACTATTTTCAAATACTTGGAAATATGTGAATGAGGAAAGAATACTAAATAAAGCTAAAGTTGAGACTCAAAGGATTATAGACCCAAATTCGGGAGGGGAGAAAGGCCAAAAGATACATAGTAGTGAGAAAAATTAAATAGACCTTCTGTTATGCAAACATGGACCCTTAATTTTCCAACCTTCCTCACTTCTTTATCTTTTGTCCTTTCTCTCCTTTTCCCGCATTTGGGTCTATAATCCTTTGAGTCCCAACTCCAGTTTATTTAATATTCCTTCTAGCGTTGCATGATTTGGCTACTTTGCGCCAAAGTTGGCTATCCTTTGTTTAGTTTGGCGTAAGAAATACCATTTGGCGCATTGGCTACTTTTTGGGCTACATATTATTTATAAATATATTAGACGAATAAAAATGCACTTTAAAATGGTAAAATGAATAAAAAAGACTTTAAAATGGTGACTAATTAAAATGGGTTTTAATTAGAGACCCAAATAAAACAAATATTTGTGTTTTTCAAATAAATTTTTGTTTGTCTCCTTTATAATAAATGAATTTATCTATTTCGTAGTAAAAATTGAAAGTATCTGTAGAAGTAATTTTTTAAAACATCCTTTTTCCCAATAAAGATTTATTATTACTATAATCTAGCCAAGTTAATTCTGAAACATACAAGTATATTTAAGGATTGGGCCATAAGTATATTATATATACTTGTGGCCCAAAACTTCATGACATCTTGCAATGTGGCCCATAGAAACAAAAAGGTTGGACACCCCTGGTCTAGATGATAGCATTTATTATCATTTATACATTAATGGAAGTCATTGAACAGAAACAAATGAATTATTCTGCTCAAAATTGCATCTAAAGAAACCAGCAAACTCTTTATCATTTTTTGTGAACTACATGATTTTGATGGCCTGTTTATGAATAATTAATAAGTGCTTCAGGAAAGAGGTGGAAGTCTTCACACCTTTTTCCTGAACTGAAAATGTGGCTAGGAGGGCTGAGGTTCAACACTAATGACCATCTTCAAAACAATGTTAAGGCCCATCTCAAGTTGCTGGCAGCAACAGTCTATAAAGTGGAGATTGCAAAGCTCATCCACAGATATGACAAATGCTTCAATCTTCATGGTGATTATGTCGAAAAGTAACAATGTTTGTACCTAACTTTTGGTAATAAATTAATTTTGTTATTTACACTTGTCGTTGTTTTATGGACCGTCGGAGGTTGGAAACAAAACCACCCTTGTATTACACATAATATAATCATTTAAGATAAAATTTTAAAAATGAAAAACATATTAAAATTATATTTTATATGTACAGTGGTAAACAAATTATTGATGATAAAAATATTTCTTTTTATAGCAATGAAAGAAGAATTGATCATCAGCCCTGACTGGGATTATGAATGTGACGACGAATCCACACAAGAATTTGAGATTTCCAATAGAAACTTTAAAGTTGAAAGTGAAAAATATAATGATGTTACAATTGAAGATAATGTAAAAGTGAGTAAAATATTTTTGATAAATAATACAAAATTTTATATAAGTAATAGAAAACTTTTTTAAAACTTGTTACTGTTGAAATTATAAGCATTAACTTATTTATACATATATATCCACATTATATCCACTTCCTGAATAACTACTATTTGTAATGATTTAATATATACAGAGTACTTTAATAAATAATAATTTCAAATCAAAAAGACTAGTGTCATTTTTTGATTTGAAGCATTCTTATCTATATATATAACCCATTCAACGAATGTCTGTTCCGTAACCGTTTGATAATGGACACTAGAGGCGCCCTATCGTGTGTCATATTTCAAACATTCAAATTAACAATTTTAATTCTTATTTAAATTAACAATATACATTTTTATTATTCATTTCGCCAATAAATTATTATTTGGTTAATATAACAATATAAATAATTCAGTATATTTGTAACAGGAATTTATTATTTCAGGGGCTTATATCTCTTGAAGGGTCGCGAGTAGGGGTATGGTTCCTTTGACTTTATTGTTAGTACAGGGGTCTACGGTTTGGGAGGGTCGCCACCTCTTCATTCGGAGGGTAAATCTTACCATTCGGACTTTAACAGAGCTGTAGAGCATATTGATATGAACAAAAAAGTCAAAGGAACTGTGCCTCATGGAAATTTGTAAAGAACGCCCACTAGGGGCCTCCCAAGCTACTAGTTGAGTTATAAATGATTTAAAAATATGACGTCACTTCATGTTTAGTGAAATGCAATTTGATGTATGAAAATATTTGTTGATAATTGCACATTGGTTTGATATCTGTTACTTATTATCTGAAATTTTATTAATGTGTCACTTGGATTTTTTATAAAAATACATGGCTTAACAATGTATGCTTCAGGCTGGTGGTAAGTTTCACAATTAGCCAAAATTTGCATATTCAAAAATGTTCTTGGCACATCTTTGAATATGGAGTGTTTTAAACATTTGAATGTACTGCTAATTTCAATGCTAATTTCCATATTCGAATATCTTTGAATAATATGAAACTTTTGACTTGCTAAGTTGAACTTGAAAGTATTATTTTGTATTTGTTAATTATTTGTATTTGTTTGTTAACAACAATTAGTTCATGTTGACTGAAGTGATTATTATTTAATAATGTCTGAATTTATGTTTTTGGAATATGCTGATATACATTGAAAGCTTGCGGAAATGCACTTGAAGCGAGACAACTGTAAGAAGAAACTTTCACTGGCAGAAGAGTGCCTAATCACTAAACTTTCAGTGCTGTCAATAGATATCAGAGAGAAAAGGGACAGTTATACCCTAGTAAAAGTGGAGGATGGCAACCAGAATATCCAAGACTTGGCTTTTCAGTTGGTAGAAAATGATCCTGGCACAACTACTAGGAAGATTGGTTCTATTATTGGGGGGTTAACCACACGACGGTTTGGCATACTTTGCCTGATGTGACATTTGTCATTGTATAACCTCTATGGCAAAAAATGAGTAGTAATGAAAAAATTTATAAACAAATAGTGGATACATGTAACATTCTATAAAATATAATTGCATGATAAAAATGTTGTGAATATTTAAAAACAGGAAAATGAGTGATTTCTGTAGCAATGTGAAACATATTCATTTGTTGGCTTTAAGAGAATGAGAGTTATAGGATTCAAATTTAAAACATTTGAATTTTGTGCACTCATCTGTAATTGGATGGCAGAATGATATTTCTCACATGAACTGAATATGTGTAAAAAAGATTCAATGTATGAATGGCAGAAACAGACTATAGGTCATTTTTAAAAAAATTAGCACTTGCAATCATGTGAAGAAGCTACAAAGTTTATAAAGCATAAATCCTGAAAATGATCAAATTGCAAAATATGCAGTTAAAATCATAAACATGCATATTATAAGCATTATTGGACAACTTTAATTTAATCTACTTGGACTCAAATCTTGTTTATACCAAGATTTCAACATCATAATATTTAAGGGGAAAAAATGCACATGCATACAAGTTCAGTCCTTAATTATAATAAATAAGTGTTTTAAAATTATGTATAAATGTCTTAACAATTCATAATTTATGTATTAAGTAATAAGTGTACTTTTTTTTATTTATTTATTTAACAGCTGAATTATTACATCTTTGAATTTTTATTTAAAAATAATATAAGATATTCAAAAGATAATTTTTTAAAAAGCATGTCCTTTTTGATATCTTTCTTGGCTCTTCTTGATGGTCCTACTACTATTTTTATTGTCCATTATGTGAGTTGAGTCAGTGCCAACTTGTAGTGAACCAGTGGATAGCACTGTATAAGTACTGTTTAGTTGTCAATTACCAGATGATATACTTTTGAGAGGCTCATCCCAATTTCTGATGTTAGAGCCTATTATGAGATGGCACTCATCTCATAGTAGGCTCTTTTTGCATTGTTCTTTCACTGGTGGCAGCCCTAGGATTTGTCAGGCTCTAGACAAAAGTTTATTTTTGAGATCCATTAAAACAGCAGTACTATAGGGTTCACTCAGGACTGAACAGTTTTTTTTTTGATGCCTTGCGATTGTGTAGTCACATTTCAATAATGCTTGATGTAAAACATACCTTGGTTGACTGCTACATCACAAAACAATTTTTGTTTGTGTTTCATGCTTATCCTTTCATTTTATACAATATTTCACATAAGTATTTAATCTTCAGTAATATCAACACACACTTACTAAAACACCTTTTCTTGCAGCCGACGCTTTATTATAACGTAGGTGGTGCGCTAGCCACCTACGTTCTAGCGGACCAGCAAGACGTCAATGTTGAATGGGACCAAGCAAGACTAATGCAGATAGTTCGAGACAGGAGACACCGACATTACGCGGAAGCCTGGCAGATTTGTAAGGCAAAGCATAAAGGCCTTGCAGTCAACTTCCGGGAATCGACAAAAATATCGGCAGCATGGTCCTCTAGCTTTCTTCAATTATTAATATAAAATTAATAATTGAAGAAAGTAGTTAATATGTATCTCAAGTTATATTTTTTGAACGATGTAGGGAGATGGCATCTTTAAGTATTTATATTTAGATAGTTATGTAACCTTTTATATTTCCGGTTACACTGACGTCATGTACAACGGATTATAAGCGAGTTCGAAAGATTTGAAAAACAGTTATTCGTACTAAGCGTTCGATTTACGATTGTGGTGTTTATTTTGTTACTTAGTTAATTTTATTTTTTTGAGAAAGGTCTTTTAACAAGACCGAAAACGTTTGAAAGTTGTTATAATAAAGCGTCGGCTGCAAGAAAAGGTGTTTTAGTAAGTGTGTTGATATTACAATATGCAGTCTAGAAAGAATTAATCTTCAGTAAATTGACCTGTGTATTATTCTATATAAGAAATCAATAGAATTACAGTATCTCTAGTTTTAATAATTGTGTTCATTCTTATTACTGCCAAGTCCACTTACAGTATACAGTTGTTCCTCGATAATCCGACAGGTATGGGACCAAAGGTGTGTCGGATTACCAAAAGTGTCCAGATTACCGAAAATAATTACATATTTCGCATTGTGTTGCTAGCAGTAACTTACAATATTCTCTACTTCAAACTTTTTGAACAGAACTGCTCACATAAAACACACGAAATATGTGTCATTGAGTAAGAATTGGATGGGAAGATTCACATCGCGACATGCTTCTGTGCAAGCAGACACGTAACGGGGACGGGAGGTGCGTCGGACTACTGAGCATGTCGGATTAAAAAACGTCAGACTATCGAGGGACAACTGTATTTGAATACTTTTGGAGATTTTGTTATGCTGTTTGAAAATAATTATGTTTGTCAACTTAATTTTATTTTGAAAATGTTGCTGAGAAAACTTGTGTTAAATTCTTAGCGGATTAATATTCATTGGAAATTCTGGCCAAGCAGTGTTGTTAGGCAGCAGAACAAACAAATAGAAATTAGACTTATTAGACTTTTTGTCACTGAAGATCACAGCTGATCAGTTTTAATGTGGCTAAGTTTAAATTAATTATATTATAGATTTAGATAAAACAGACATATACTAGATACTGGTTAACTACATGAGACAATTAACTGAATAACCCAAATCCAGCAGAAAGAACATATGTGAAGAACTCATTTTAACATAGCAAATGTTTTTTTCTATCATGAATGGACCTCTTCAGGCTAATGTTTCGAAATAGAACTGCACATTTTAGAACATTCAGAGATGTATTCTCTGTTAATTCTTGATATATTTACAAATTCTTTGCTGAAGCCATCTTTGACAATTAGCAAGCAGCTCCATTTTCAAACTTGAATGTGCAGTTCTATTTCTGAATATTAGCATAAAGATATTCATCCAGGATGGAGGAAAATGTTTGCTGTGTTAAATTGAGTTTTCTGTGTGTTCTTTCTGCTGGTTTTGGGTTATTGAGTTAGTTGTCTTATGAGTTAGATCAGTTAGATAAATGTCATAATAAAGAATTTTTTTATACTTTTATAGAGTACAAATGCAACTCTGAATGAAGTGGTTGGGATGTAATTTAGAGCTGTAGACCATGCTCACAGGAGTAAAAATGTTAAAAGGAACTTATAGTCTGTATGTGATCTTTTGCAAGATAGGCTTATTTTGGGTGTTATTATACTGGACTTTTGAAGACCCTCAAAAATGGAGTAAAATTTAAAAGTGAAAAAATTGAGAACTGTTTCTCAAAACAATGCTGAAAATCAACTGTTTTCCCACTTTATTATAGATGGCTAAAATCTCAAAACATGAGAAATGCCATTGCACCAACTATTTCCAGGACATGATCAGAATCACATTGTAAGATCCATTAATCCTATTGTGTGGGAATTAACCTATTCTTAAAAATAAAATAAGCTAACAGACCATTAGTTTCTTTGACCTTTTTTTTTTACTCCTATAGACATGGTCTACGGCTATGATAAGGTTCCAACTGCCTCATTTTGGAACTGCATTTACACCTATTGTAGCAGATAATGAACATTTCTGTTGTCAATTCTTTTGCCTCTGTCCTTAACTATATTAAATTTTTTTATTATATCATTGTCTACATTGGATTTAGTATATTAATAGGACTTATTATACTAGTGTTGTTTCAGTTTTTGCAAATAGAGGAGAACTTATTCAGAAAAACAAAATCTTTATTTTTTACCTGAGTTTTCACCTGTACATGCTGTTTTTGTGTTACAGACCTTAAGGCCCCTCTTCAGCAGGTTTACAATAATAATATTCTATAACAAAAAATTTAACTTAAAATAAAACTTATTATAACAATTTTATACCCAACAATAATGTGTAGAATTTATTAAATTACTTACATGTTCCATGTTTTCTATTATCAATACATCAATATATACATAAATTATCCATAAAAGGATTTTTAACATTATTTTATCTTTTAACAGAATTTGCTTATGAATTTGTCACAACTGTTATGACTTCACAGTACCTGGAATTGAATGCATTCTTACTTCACATTTTGCATACAAAAAACAAATAGTAGTCTATAATTACCAACAATACAGTTGAATTGGTACTGACTTATTCAGCCTGGATAACTAAATACCTAGAATGACATGAACTCGCATACTTCAGTGGTTGTTTTCGATCTTTAGCATTTGGTTTTGTATTAGTTTTTCTTGAGATCTTTCCTCTCTTTCATGCTGATCTTATATGAGAGACATCTTTCTGATGGTTTCTTTGTATATGATTTCTCATCCTAGTCAGAGTGACACAAATCTGATTCACCCACACACATATATAAGAACAAATCATGTTTTGCTCTCGTGCAGTTCCTTTTTTATATCCTTGTATTGTAAATCTTTTTATATCTGGGTTCCCCTTAACAATTTTTCCTTTGTTCTTTAGTCAAAAATGTTTGAGAATGATGCTTTTCAATGTAAAATAAACAAGAACAAGGTAACCTACATCAAGTTAAAGAACAAAGACATAAGTCCAAATATAGTTTAAAATAAAATATTTTGGTGCCTCATACTTACAATGTTCCTGAGTTTGAATGCTAAATTCAAGAGAAATTTGATTCAGAAATCAAGCGATGCTTCTGCATTCAAACTGCATGTTCAGTGAAAAATGCACACACTGCATAATGCCATCTGTTGTGTGCCCAAGTTGTCTCTTACTCTCACTGTTAAAGCATTTCTTATGGAATGTGAGAAAATGTGTTATGCTCATTTGGTGTGTATAACCAAACATTTTCTGTGTATGTGTGTATATATATGTATATGTATATATAATGCTTGTTTATTTATTAACCATGGTATCCAAGAAGAATGTGGAAACAATGAAGCCTAAAAGAAAGATTGTAGTATCAACAATTGAAATGAAGAAAGAACTTATTGCAAAACATGAAAGTGGTATACGTGTGAAGGATCTAGCAGCTATGTTCAAGATGCCGAAGTCAACAGTTTGCACCATTCTTAAGAACAAGGATGCAATAAAAGCGGCAAATGTGGCTAAAGGTGTGACGACATTAACCTCCAAGAGATCACATATTATTGAGGAGATGGAAAAACGCCTCCTTGTATGGATAAATGAGAAGCAATCGGCTGGTGATATCATATCTGTGAGGATTATTTGTGAGAAAGCTAAGCAGCTGCATAATGACATTAAGAAACGCACACCTGGAACCAGTGTTGAAAGTGAAGAGTTTAAGGGGAGTAGAGGGTGGTTCAATAAATTTAGGAAAAGATCTGGAATCCATGGTGTTGTGATGCATGAGGAGATTGCTAATGTGGGAGAAGATGAAAAGTTTGTAAAAAGTTTTAAGCAGTATGTGGATAAGCAGGGATTTGTGCCTCAGCAAGTTTTCAATTGTGATAAAACAAACCTCTTCTGGAAGAGACTGCCTGGGAAGGGCTACATTACAAAAGAAGAGAAGGCTATACCAGGATATAAGCCTATGAAAGATAGGCTTTCTCTGCTAATTTGTGGTAATGCTAGTGGGGACTGTAAGATAAAGCCTTTGCTTGTGTATCATTCTGACAATCCATGTGTATTTAAAAAGAATAATATAACAAAGAGTAGGCTTAATGTTATGTGGAGGGCAAACATGTCAGCATGGGTTACCTGGCAGTTTTTTACTGAGTGGATTCATGAAGAGTTTGCACCTTGCGTGAAAGCTTATCTTACCAAAAAGAATCTACCACTGAAGGCTCTTCTAGTGCTGGATGACGTTCCTGCTCATCCTTTAGGCTTACAGGAAGATTTGGTGGGTAAATTTAGCTTTATCAAGATAATGTTCTTGCCCACCAATACCACTTCTCTCTTCCAACCCATGGACCAAGTCATCTCAAATTTTAAGAAACTATATATAAAGGCTGTGTTTCAGATGTGCTTTGAGGTGATCAATGAGACAGAACTTACTCTTAGAGATTTTTGGAAGAATCATTACAATATCCTTCATTGCTTACAAAATATCAATAAAGCATGGAAGGAAGTTTCTCTCAGGACAATGAACTCTGCTTGGAAGAAACTCTGGCCAGATTGTATTTCAGCCAGAAACTTTGAAGACTTTGAACCAGTGTCTGTGGTATATGAAATTGTGTGTCTGGGAAAGTCCATGGGTTTGGAGGTAAGTGAAGATGATGTGGAGGAGTTAGTGGATGATCACAAGACCAAACTAACCATAGAAGAAATGGCAGAGGAAATTTATTCAAATGAGGAAGAGGAAGCTGAGAACAGCATTTCCAGCACTGAAATTAAGGAACTGTGCTCTCTTTGGGCTAGAATGCGGACCATTGTTGAAAAATGGCACCCTAACATAGCAGCAGTGAATAGGAGCATTGACTTCTTTGATGACAAAGTAATGGCCTACTTTAGGAACATCCAGAAAAGTCGTCAACACCAAACTGCATTGGAAAGGTTCTTCTCTAAAGAAAACTGGGAAAGCAAACCAAATCCCTCAACCAGTAAAACTAAGAGGCTGAAGAGTGAGAAAACACCAGAAGAACAATTATTTGGTGTGTTTATGGAAACTGACTCCTCTTCCAACAATTAACCTTTCACATCCTCTCCACCAGCCACATTGGACATCATAACAACTCACTAAGGTATTGTAAATGTAATTTTCATTTTATTATACAGTATTTACATATTTTATTCATTGTTTTCATGTTTTAATTCATTATTTAGGGCATTTAATTGTGTTAAGATTCAATTCAGAGTTCAACACAGAGGGCAATTCAGAATTCAGATGATCTCCCGAAACAAATGAAATTCAAAGTATGAGGCACCACCGTATTTAAAAATTTAATTTTCATCAAATAGCTTGAAAATATCGCATTTATACATTATCTTACAAATTACATAATACTGTAAAAAATTTATTATTATTCTGGAAATCTGTTTTAACTTATTTATTTATATTATAAACTTTTAGTTTTTAATATATTTTGTGAATTTTTCAAATTTTTTTAAACATTTCACAGGTTCAGAATATCAAAACTAAACCTCATGGGCATGCTGATTCTGTAGAGAATACTGAATTAAATCAGTTAGATTTAAAAGAAAATGGAACTGAAATTTCTTCAAAACATGTGGATTTTGATAATGTAAATGTGTTTTTATATGAGGTATTTCAAAAGATCAGGGTAAATAGACCAGGAGGTAATAGAGGAGTTTATGTAGCATAAATAATGCATTGAGTAGACGAGGATGCTTTTTTGTGGTAAAGGAGCTTTAATACAGCTGGATAAGCCAGCCAGTGACACAATAAAACTGTGAGAAGCTGGGATCAATATGTATATTCTATTGACACTTAATCAGCAATGATTTGGTAAGAACTGCTCACTTTATCACTGGATGGCTATAAGTTAGAGTTTGTTATTGGATTGTGAGAGCCCTGCTGACATCAGGACCTGACACCAGTTAGGATAGTTATATTCGCATTCTAACTCACAATATTAAAATTCATTTGTTCAAAAAGGAGTGCTCGATTTCTTGTGAGTGGCGAGATTGTGGATCAGTCGATAGGCGTCCAATTTCCATTGAACTGACATCGAGAACATTTTACTAAACAAATAACAAAATTTAATAAAGATAACTAAAATAAAATACAAGAGTTTATAATAACTAAGAGATAAACGACTCCTAAATTCTCTAATCTTCACAAGAGAGAGTTTCCATAAAGTTTGACATAATACCTCTAAATATAATCGCTGATTTTGCTTTCTTTGATGATTCGAATGAGGTGCGGAAGTCGAAGGAGACTAGGCACAGACAAAAGTTCTGAAGAACTGGCTGGAACAACCGAATTCATTTTGAATGAAGCACATAAAACCCTTAAATTCAGAAATTTTCTTTAATGTAGAGTTCAGATTGTGGTCATCTGACGATGAGTCGAGTTAATTAGGAGTTTAGTCATCTAATGCGATAGTAATTTTCTTAGGAAGTAAACGGCTGTGAAAGGAAGTTTTACTTCCTTGTTCTCCCAAATTTCCCTCAAAAGGTGGAAAAGTGCATAATTTAACAACGAAATATTACACAGAGTTTTAGATTTTAGAAAAATAAATTAATTGTATATTTGGATTTTCACAAAACAATCTGTCATTATTTTGCTTATCCAGCTGTATTAAAGCTGCTTTATCAAGCAATGCACCTAGAGGGAAATAGGAGTTTGTATAGAGTAAATAATGTTTAGAAAGTTTTATTGCTTTTTGGTTTGAATTCCTTGTATGAGTTGTTTTTTATATCAATGATATAAAACAAAGAATTTATACTTAACTCAAACTCAGTTATAGAAACTCAAAGAAAAAAGACCAGTGGTGTGAAATCTAGAGGAAAATCTTTACTTTTTTAAAACTCAGAAAAAATATTGTTAAAATATTTCCTCTTAATCTATTGACCTTACCTTTTGAAACATATTTAATATCAAATAATGAATTTTAAATAATTGAGTATTGTTAAGTTAAATGAAAGCATTGAGAAAATTTTTTTCAATTTATTTGTTTATTTAATTAAGTTATTACTATTATGATTTACATAATTAGAATAATTCTATTCTTCTTAATGTGCAGTTTGTTTTAATATACAAATTTAGCTTGCCCAATGCTTAATCTTTGTATTGTTATTACCAGAAACTGATTTCAACTTCTATAACCAATGTCAAACCTTTATATGTAAAGTTATTATTTAATTATTGAATGTTGTTGGTTATCCAAGCAGCCATCTGTACAATACAATTCAATACTAACTTATCTACTATTTATTTCTGATTTTATGTTTATAAATTACTAGTGCAAATGTGAAAGGTCAACATTGCCCCTCAGGTTAGGTCTGCCACTACTTGTTACTTCTGGCTTACAGGAAACTTTCGATAAATACATGAGCAGTTGCATATTAGGAAACTTAGGGCTGTCCATAAATGATGGCCACATTGGAAGGGGGTTATGACAAGTCATACAAGGGAGGATTGAACTTCAGTGGACATCCATTTTATTTCGTTAAATATTATACAGTTTATGCACATTATTCATAAAATAATACAGGTTTTGAGGGGATTAACTTTTGTTGGATATCCAAAGAAGGGAGGTGTTACAGCAACTTGGACAAACTGGGACAATGGGGAAGGGATATAAAAAGTTCATTAAAAATGTGGACGTAATTTAGTGACAGCTTCTTACAGGTAAGGGACAGAGGAGGAAGTTGAGAGATGGAGAACACAGAAGTAATGCACTGTAAACTGGTTAGCAATTAAACAACAAACATTTATTTCACTCAATCTTATCTTAAATACATGTAAAACAAATAGTGAGTTTAAAGCAATTTTACATGCCTATCCTTGAGAGAGAGCAGTTATAATTAAGCATATGGCAATAAATACCTATATCATTTTGATTTCTGGCAATCTCTGAGAGTCTGTGAAGTTATTGTATGAGAACAAAGTGCAGGTAGAGGGTTCGGGGAGCTGATGTAAATTCATGACGTATTCATTCTTGGTTTGGTACTTAAATAGTCTTATTTGTTGGAGTTCATCACAAATAAATCCCGAAACCAATGGTCTTCTAGTATGGAACAGCAAGGATCCAGGGCTTACTTTTTTCTTTGAATGAACATGAAACAATTAAATGTCCTAAATTAACAAAATACTAGCTGAGGTTCTCACACAAAGATAATCCTACTATTTTAAGATAAAATTCAAGAAAAAAGAAACTAAATTATTTTACTAATTATACTTATTTTTACAATTGAGTTAAACTGTCATAAGCAATGCAGTGTAATATTTCATAATCATATTTTTCCTTTATTTTGTGCAGTTACAAAGAACCGATATTATCTCTGAAGATGGTAATAACAGATTCAATAGAAAAACTACACATTCTGATGATTCTTCAGAAAATCTCTCAGAATTGATGATAACTGATGATTCTTCAGAAAATCTCTCAGAATTGAAATGTGATCAAGTGAAAACTGAACACAGTAAAGGTATCTATAAATTATTTCACCTATTATAAAAAATTATTTTCTGTAGCTATTGAATCCCATTGAATGGAGATACCATGCAATCTTGCTAATCTGACCTCTGAATTATTTGGCATATACACACCACCAGTGTGATCACCTGCATGCTTGTGTTTCATGAAAATATGCCCTGTTTACTGAGATTTGTTTCTGTGAACAGTGTTGAATATCAGATTGCCATTTTATTTTCCCATTTGCCTCTAAAAAGAATCTGTACTGAAAGGCAATGGGCAATGTCATTCTTTTGCTTTTAGTCCTATATAATCCCAGCAACCTGGCACTCCTGCTAATGTGGTACTCTTCTATGCAACAAATGGTCATGTTAGCAAGAGTTTGGTGTAAGTGGTATGTCCATTTTTGGAAAAAAATACAGTAGATCCCCCTATAACATGATTTCATATAATACGGATTCGTATAACATGGCAGAAAAATTGTGATCATGTTTGTATAACACGTTAAAAGAGGCTCGTATAACACGGTAAAAGAATGAGACAGATTATCATGGCCAACTTGTGTCTCAACAGGATTGGTCGAATCTGCACCAATAGTGGATGAGCAGCGGCATGCGTATATATGGACAGTTTAGGCGAAAAAGTTGAGTTTACTATCATCTGTACAGTATGTACAGAACATAAATTAGGTAACACTAACACTGTAATTTTATAATTTTTACATTATCTACAATTTTGTCTTTAGTTATCACGATCCCTGCCATGAAGAAGAATTCTAAGAAGAGCAGAAGATATATATCCCTTGAAGACAAACTTAAAATATTGGATCGGTTAAAATCTGGTGAGAAAACAATAGTCATTGCTAAAGATTTAAAGTTACAGGCGGCAACAATTCGAGCAATAAGAAGAAATGAAACCAAAATAAGGGCTAGAATTTCCTCTGGATCATTAGTAAGTTTGAATAAAACTGCTCGTATAAAGGACACTTTAATTCCTAAAATGGAAAAGTATTTGATGTTATGGATAGAAGATTGCTTTTCAAGGAATTTTCCTTTGAATACCAATGTGATACAGGAAAAGGCAATAAAGATTTACCGGCGTGTAAGAGCGCTTGAATGCGTTTCTTTTAATGAATCATGTCAACACGAATTTAAAGCCAGTAAAGGGTGGTTTAACAGATTTATGAATCGATTTTCCTTGCGCAATGTCAAAATTCTGAGAGAAAGAGCATCAGTTGACATAGAAGCAGCCCAGAGATTCCAAGAGTATTTTCCCAAAATTGTAGAAGATAGAAATTACACTGCAGATCAGGTATATAATGCCACCGAAACCGCATTATATTGGAAGAAAATGCCCAGACGCACTTACATCTCGAAAAATGAAAAGTCTGCTTCAGGATTTAGGGTTTCCGAGGATAGTATCACTTTACTTTTATGTTCAAACGCATCTGGAAATAACGTTATAAAGCCCATGTTAATTAACCGATCATTAAACCCAGAAGCAATGAAAGGGGTTGACAAATCAGTTCTTCCTGTTTTCTGGCGATCAAATAGAAATGCATTTGTAACAGGTGTTTTATTTCGCGATTGGTTTTACAATTGCTTTGTGCCGGAAGTGGAAGATTACTCAAAAAGAAAAAATATCAGTTTCAAGGCTTTGTTACTGGTCGATAATGCGCCAGGACACACAGAAGATTTAAATCATCCGGCTGTTAAATTAATATTTTTACCTCCCGATACGACATCAATCCTACGACCAAAAGACCAGGGAATAATTAGATTATTTAAATCATTGTATGTACGGCACACATTTGAACACATTTTAGAAAATATTGATTTTAATTCAAGCACTACCACAGTAATGGACTTGTGGAAAGATTTTTCAATTTTAAATAGCATTGAAATTATTTTGTTATCTCTGAAGGAACTAAAATGTTCGAATCTGAATGCCTGTTGGGGAAAATTATGGCCTGAAGTTGTTATTAGAGAAGACTGTTTAACTTCTGTGACAACAGAAATAAATCGCATAATAAATATTGCCCACACTTTAGGTGGAGAGGGATTTGTCGACATGAACGAGGAAGATGTTATTGAGTTAATTAATACTAACCAACACTTAGATGAAGAAGAACTTATGCTGCTGGCAGAGTTGTCGAAATCAAGTGGTGAAGAAAACTCATTACAAATTTTCTGTGAGCCAGAGCAACACTTTAATTTAGAAAAGTTAAATGAAGGATTAGAATTGGCAAAAAATCTAGAAGAACTTTTTACGAATAATGATCCATCAACAAAGCGCTCTGAGGAATTTAAGAAAAAATTGAAAGAATGTTTAGCTCCATATCATGAACTAAAAGAATGTTTAGAAAGTAACAATAATAAATTGTTGAAAACATAAGAAGATACCCTTTCAAATTATGAAAATAATAGAGAAGAAAGAAGTGAATCTTTAAGCTATGAAATAGCACAACCAACATTTAAAAGAGGATGTCGTTGGATCCTAATTATGGATAGCTTCGACAGTGAATAAATGTAAAATAAAAAGTGTAACTACTGCTTTTATTTAATGCAAAATGAATAAGAAAACATTTTTAATTTCAATATTTGTTTGTTTTGAAGAGAAATAAAATATATTTTCACTCTTACATATTAAATAATTATTTTGCATCTTTGTTATGTATTTGTATAAGTGTATGTTTATGCATAAGTAAACTGTATGTGAGCCGCTCATTTGCCAAAACGATAAGTTCATAAAAGGAAAGATAGAAAATATGTATTGGTAAATTTTTATACATTTCTTGTGAAAAAAACATTTATTATTCAACGGCCATAAAAATTATATTTTTATTAATGGTGTCTCCAAAGTTCAGCGAATTTTTCTCAGAAAAATAACTGATCAGAAAACACACATTGGCACTCGATGAGCCACTCGCTCCGTGATGAAAACAAGCTTAATCAATGGCATTGTTGAACGGCGCGCACTCGGTAAGTGTTCCTACAATTTTTTGTTTATAGTATAGTTTATATGGATTATTCCCAAAAATTATGTGTTTTGGAAATGTTCAAGTCAAATTAGTCTAGAATCAATTAATTTTATGGAAGAAAACCTTTCAAACCTCCTAAACTGCACAAGTGCCATGCTGAAAACGGCTCATGTATTTGTAAAATCTAAATGACTCATTCAACGCAGAATTTGTATAACAAGGAACACATCTACTGTGTTATAGGCGGGGTCTACTGTAAGTTTTTATTTATTAACATATGTCAATATTTTTCAGTTGATTCAGATGCAAAGCCCTTAAATATGTCAATGTATGAATAAATGGAATTACACCACATTCATTTATAACAGATTATATATTGAAAATAATTTAGTTTTATTATTCAACAAAATTATCATCAATATTTTATATTTATATAAACAAAAATATTCCAATACACTATACTTTTCATTTCAAATTACTCTATACCAGTCAACCCCCCTATAACACTGTTGAATTCAGTGTTATATGAATTCCATGTTGTACAAGTCACTTAGATTTCACAAATACGTGAGCCGTTCACAGCCCAACACACGTATTTGTAAAATCTAAGTGACTTGTATGTGCGCAACCGAGGGAGTAGAGAGAGAGCTTCTCCCCACTTACCGGCTTTGCTGTCAGAGAATGGCTATAGGAGGAGTAAAGATATGAGTGGGGAGGAGTTGGAAGTCGTGATCAGGTGTCCAAAAGACTACATGGGTTTAAATAGACAACACATTTAATAAACATAGAAGAAAATATACATAAAGATAATAAATACAACACACGCGTATCAAGATATAAATAGATATGCTATATTTTAACCTAACCTAACTCAAATGATCGAGAGAGACCTCACGTTGGAGAGAGAGAGAATTATGGCAAGGATTTACCTTGTAGGAAATGCTCTCATATTATAGGGCAGTGGTTCCCAACCGGTGTTCCATAAGCATCTCTCAAGTGTTTCGCAGATTTAGTCGGAAATTGGAAAGTGTACAATCGTATTCGATTTGCAAGTAAACTTCACAATACATCTTTCGCTGTTCAAATTGACAAATCAACAGATACTAGTGGAAAAGCCATTTTACTATTTTACTTGGATACATTCGATTTGTTAAAGAAAACAGAATAGTCAATGAAATTTTGTGTTGCAGAGAGTTACTAGAAAGAACAAATGGAGAAGTCATTTATAATGCTATCAGTTCTTACTTTGAACGTTTGAATTTGAACTGGGAACAATGCGTGGAAATCTTCACTGATGGAGCTTCATCAGTGACAGGCTCAGTCAAGGGATTTGTGATATTTGCAAAGCAACGAAACAGTGAGATTTATATAAATCACTGCTTCTTACTTAGGGAATTGCTTATTGCAAAAACATTACCTGCAGAATTAAAAGATGTTTTTACTAGTGTTGTTAATATGGCAAATTACATAAAGGCGAGACTGTTGAAATCCCAAATTTTTAAACTACTGTGTGCAATGATGTAAGCAAAATATGAAGGATTAATTTTTCATACAGAAATCAGGTGGCTTTCTTGAGGAAAAATGCTTTTTTGTGTACTGGAACTGAAAAAAGAATTGATAGTTTTCTTGGAACAAGAAAATATTTGCTTTTCAGAAAATCTGAAAAATGATATGTGGCGTGCCAAACTTGGATATTTAAAGGACATATTTAATTATTTGAACATTGTGAATACTACCATGCAAGGTATACAGGAAAACATCTTAACATCAAAGGACAAACTGTCAGCTTTTCACAAGATCATTCTTTGGTAAAAAAGAGTAGAAGAAAATAATCTCAGTATGTTTCCTTCCGTACATAATAATACCAATATTGTTTCCTTGATATCAGAACATTTAGCAATATTAGAAAACAACGTAAGAAAATATTTTCCTTTTCTCGACACAAACAAATATTACTAGATTAGGAATCTATTTATTTCAAAAGAATTATATAATAATTCTGAATTTAATGTCTCAGAGAAAGAAGAGCTTATATCCTTGTCATCAGACTGCTCCTTGAAAATCAAACACGTTGAAACGAATCTTGATGAATTCTGGATATCGGTCCAAGATATCCAGAATTCATCAGGAATATCCACTGATATCAAAAAAAGCCATAAAAGTTTTACTAATTTTCTCAATTTCATATTTATGTGAACTTGGGTTTTCCACATTAACCAATACAAAATCTGAAAGAAAGGAAAGACTGACAAATTTAGAGGAAGAAATAAGGGTGACATTGTCTTGTACATGTCCCAACATAGAAGAAATATGCAAAATACATCAGTCACAAGTTTCCCATTAAAGTTATTTAGGTATATTTTTTTTCTGTCCTAAAATTGACGTTAATAATACGAGTAGAGATTTTGAATTATAACTGCTCAATTGTAATAAAATAACTGATGACAAGCTTATTTATTTCATATTAACTTAAGTAAGTGTTCTGCTAAAGAAAATTGCTCACAAAAATGTTCCACATCCTAGAAAAGGTTGGGAACCACTGTTATAGGGCGTAGAAAAAATGCTGTGTGATCGTCGTCTTCTAAATTCGAGGTGCTCTTTGAAGGCTATGTGGAGCGATGTCCTTCTCAGGCTGTTCGGCTAAGTCCGGTTACAGCGTATGCTCCGTCGCTCCTAATGTGTAGAATTCTTCCTGGTGGAGTTCGCTCGGAGGGTTCTTCTGTTAACCTCTCCGAGGAGTAATTCCAGCGTATATGGAGAGAATAGAAAATATTCAAAGTCTTTTTACCTTGTCTGGAGCGGTGATTACGAGCTTCATAGATCCTGAGAGGGTTGGAAGAGTCCACTTCGTTGTCTCTTCCCCGACGATCCCTGTCGAGGTGTCAGATCGTTCCCCTTTTATACCCTTTAGCATGGGAAAAATCTGGGATCTCGTTGACGTCTTTCCCTCGTAGAAAAATTCATTACCTTATTTGGTCATTTGTCGCTGGGTCGCTCGGACTTATGGGGGGGGTCACGGGACATCGTGGTCCCTCGTCGATGACCTTGATGACTAACCTCTCTGCATTGTCATACGTTTTTCTGCAGCCTATTGGATATTTATTTAAACGACGCAGTTATCTCATAAGCAAGCGATCCCCTGGAGGGGGGTGGTCCCTCTTCAGATGACAAAAGTCACTCTCGCTTACTACGCAGTTAGTGTGAAAATAAAAAATAGCGTCCGTATTCTCACATGTACAACATGGAATTCATATAAAATGGAATAATCAACAGTGTTGTAGAGAGGTCGACTGTATATGATAGTCACTAGTGCAAAATTGAAATGTACTGATGGACATTTTGAAATTGTCAAATCACTGAAGTGTATTATTCTATGTACTTGCGTAATTGATATTCTTGTCAAAATGAATGATGTTTACAATAAAAAAAACTGTTAATATAAATTCACAGATGACCAACGTGAATAAGGTATTGGCCTGTTGGTGTGGCTGTTGCATTAGGGCAAGCAACTCACCAATAATTTTTCACAGATTATCTATTCTGAAAATGTCTGGTTCTGCCCCTCAACACCCTACTGCCCCATTGTAGGCTCAGTTAAACTTACAGTCAGTATGATTAAAATGGACTTGTTTGTGTCTACAGGATAGAAGAGAGAATAATGAAAAAATATTAATATAAATTCCCATTTTTTTTTTATAACAAATATATACATATAACTTTTTATATTTGTTTATGTATTATTAAATAATTAAAATTGTTTCTTTAAATTGGAAAATCAGTTTAAAACTTATACTAATCTCTTAAATTTATAGATTGTTTCAAAACATTAATGTATGCTAAAATTAATTGATACATATTAAAGTATCAAATAAATAAATAAAAAATGAGTGAAAAGTTTATAACACAATGACATCATTAGAATAATTTTTATTTTTTAAAAAGAGTTCATCTTTCTGTAATTAGAATAACATTCTAATATGCAGGGTCTTCCAAAATTTAATGCTACTGTTTTAAATTACATTAATTATGTTAATTATCATCTGTGAAGTATGCAACATCCACCAATCAATAGAATAACTGTCCAAGTCTTGATGTCCAAGTCATCAAGTCAAGTGTCCAAGTATTCAAATGTTTTGTCATCTACAACTTGTACACCACTTTCCTACAAGGGAAGGTGGTGTAACTGAAAATGACAACTTTTTGATATAAAAGGCATTTTGTGTTCTGCAGTTCAAAGTCTGAATCATTTGTTGTTATGCAACATGAGTAATCTGCAGAATTCAGCTGAAATTGTAGAATTGTGGTTGTTGTGGAAGGAGTGATGATGGATATGCTGTAGTGAGCGTAGTAGTAGTAGTAGTGGTAGTAAGACAGGTATCACTCTTTGGTACAACCTGTGTTATAGAAAAAGGGAGGAAGATGGGGTGGGGGTGAGAAAGGAAAGGGGATGTGTAGTGAGCATAGGAAGAATTTGAATATTGGTTGGATATGTCATGTAATGTGAGGTGCATATATTGAGAAATTGTAATGGGCAAATGTGTAGTGTGGATGATTTTCCAATGTTTTAATGTATTGGGTTGTTTGGAAAGTAATTCCAATTTTTTACCATTAGAGGAATTAGTTGTATTTTTACCAGCCAATTTCATTTTAAACCATACTTTCATTATGACAGCTGACATTTTAAGGCTTATTTGTAAAAGATTTTGTATGATTCTGTACAATTGTCCAATTGTTTTTTTTTCTTCCCTATCAAATATGGAAAATCGAAAGCAGCATTTTTGGCTTATTTTGCTTTTTTATTACCAAAAAATTAAAATGCTGTTCAAGCAAGAAAAAAATTGTGTGACGTGTTGACAGAAAGACAGTGCCAAAACTGGTTTACAAAATTTCATTCTGGCAATTTTGATATTAAAAATGAACCACGTTCTGGAAGGCCAGTCGAAACTGATGAAAACAAAATAAAGGTATTGGTTGAAGCAAACCACCAAATAACAACACGTGAAATCACTGAGATTAAATTTGTCAAATTGAACCATTTATGATCACTTGAACTGACTTGGTTTTGTTTCAAAGCTTGATATATGGGTTCCACATGTTCTTAACATATTCCCTGTTATTCCCGACATATCTCAGGTTGTGACCTTATGACCTTGACCCGTGGACCCAAGATATCTCGTTTCAGCATTGGAACGTTTTTGAAACTAGATGTCGCTAGTTGTTATATTTTTATATTAAAACTAACGTTTGAAATATAATTTTTTTGGTTATTACATTTATTAACATATCAATTTTGTTTGTGCAAAATCAAAAAATAATAATTTTGGATGATACAATAGCCACAATTATTCTTTTCAAAAACGTGTAATTTCCATTAGGCTTAACATTGACGAAAATTTAACATGACGTCACATGCAACAGAGAAAACTTTGAACATCGGATAGGTTAAAGAAAGAGATGCTCTCTTTGGTCGTATTTTAAGGAATTTTTTTTTTTAGCTTCTATCAAACAATTCAACAATTGATTCAAAAGTGTACTGCAGTCAAATAAACAAATTGAGTGATACCATCAAACAGGAAAAGCCAGAATTGATGAACAAAAAAGGTGTAGTGTTTCACCGTGATAATGCCAAATCTCATACAAATTTGGTAACTCGTCAGAAACTGTTGCAGCTTAGATGGGATGTGCTATCATATCCACCATATTTGCCAGATCTGGCACCCTCAGAGTTATTTGTTCTGGTCTTTACAAAATTTTTTAAACTGTAAAACGTATACTTCAAATGAGGATGTCAACAATTGCTTGGATCAGTTTTATGCAAGCAAAGATAAAAACGTTTATGAACGTGGAATCATGCTACTACCAGAAGATGGTAAGGGGCCGTCCATAAATTACGTAAGGTATTTTGGGGTGGGTGGGGGTCAAGGATTTCTTACAATTTCTTACTCAGGGGTAGGGGGTAATAGATCTCGTCTTACGTAATATTCTTATTTTTATATTTTGATCTTGTCGAGTGGTGGCGTTTTGAATTTGGCTTCAATTTGGCGGTTTCTATTAAGAACGCTCGTTGTCTCGTCTGACGTGATAGAGTAATACACTAGCATATTCACGCTCTACACATTTTTTGTCATGGGAGAAAGTCCGTGTGGTGGTTTCTTTCTCTTGTGTTTTTATTAGAGTAAGTGCACCTCTCCTATGGATGTTTAACACTAAGAATACATAAACCAAAATACACGATACAAAGTAAACATAAAATTAGTATTCAGCTTTTAGTGAACTAAAATGTAAAACTAGAAATTATAAATAGTCTTTTCTTCCATATTTTTTGAACATAATTGTAAAAAGCATCAAACAGTGGCTTCTGAACAAGCTTATTGAGTGGACATGGCCACTTGAAACCAAGCATAAAGATTTCTAATTTCAGAATAAGTGTATGTTGATTGTAAATTGGACAATGATAAATCACGTGGTCGATGGTGTCTAGGTTTTCTGTAGAGCAAAAGCAAGAAGCAGTTTCTGCCCGGTTATATGTCGCCTGGCAGCTTCTAAAATTACAATGCTCAGTAAGTAATTGAGCAGTAGCAGACGTTAAATCGCTAAGTAGTGATGAGAACCTACATTCAACTCTAGGAAAATAAAGTCGTGTTATTCTACAAGTTTTACTGCTCAACTACTTTTACTGATTCCACTTTCGCATAGCGTTGTCATGGATATAATTTTAAGGCTGCTACGTGAGAGAGTGATGTGAGTGTAGTCCAAGTCAGTTTCCTTTGCAGCTGACTTAGCCTCAGTGTTGGCGTTTTCATTTCCTAGTACGCCAGTATGGCCAGGAACAAATACAAAAATTATCTTATTTACAAGATTTTTAATATGGTGCTGGATATATGTGATTTTATTGCTATTGCAATTGGGATTTAATAGAGCTTTCAGGACAGACAGAATCACTATAAATGTTGATAGACAGAGTTTTGTTTGGTAGTGAAGTGGCCCACTGAACAGCTTGGTAGTCAGCATCTTGTTCAGCTTGATAGATGGAGGTATACGGGATGTATCTGTACCTTCTAACATATTTTGCCAAAAATATGTAAGTTTGGAGGAAGATAGAGATACTTGAGCAGACAAGAAGGGAGCTTTTGGACCCATCTGTGTAGATATTGATGACTGCAAGATTATCCACTGAGGAAGCAGATGACACCAAATAATCTTGTTTACAGAATGATGATCAGAGATAGTAGGGTAATTGCAATGTGGTAGCATATGAACAGCCGTAGATAGTAGTAAAGACCGTTGTTGAGTCTTGACGTTTGTAGTTCTGATGTAGTTTAGAACCTTTTCTATAATACATAGTGGTAAAAGAAAGAACTCTATTAGTATCAGAGAGGCATTAGTAAAAACAGTTCTGCAGTACTTTGAAATTTTGGTGGCAAACTGGCTTTGAAGAGAGTGTAATTTACTTGCTACTGAACTTTTACTAGTTACATGACCACAGCCAGAGGCTGTGTAAAATAGCATTGGTTGTATTGCCCCATTATATAGAGTTTTATAAGCTTTATTATTTAGTCCCCAGGTGCACCTATCACATTTTAGCAGCATGTAGTTTATTTTGTTGGGTTTAGACAAGATGTAATCAATATGGCAACGAAATGTGGTTTCTCTCTGTTCTCTCTTGTTTTATTTTGTATGACTTTTCTGTTTACACGTGCACTAAATAGTCGATCTGGCAAAGTTTTTTGTGTCTTTTGTAAAAATTAAAATTAATATAAAAATAAATATTTTGACATTGATTAATGATAATAATAATAATAGTAATATTGTTAAATATTATAAAGTCTCTGTAAATCCGCACGAAAAATATATAAATTTTCGGTTTAGCGGTAGACCATCACACAGCAGATAGCTAATTACTTCTCTTTATTTAATCACTGTATATGCATTTCGGTCCTATTAAAGAACCCTCTTCAGTACTACAAAATATAAATATTATAATAAACCTTATGCGAGTAAAACTACCAATGTAACANTTAATGAATTACATCAACACGAATTTAAAGCCAGTAAAGGGTGGTTTAACAGATTTATGAATCGATTTTCCTTGCGCAATGTCAAAATTGTGGGAGAAAGTGCATCAGTCGACATAGAAGCAGCCCAGAGATTCCAAGAGTATTTTCCCAAAATTGTAGAAGATGGAAATTACACTGCAGATCAGGTATATAATGCCACCGAAACCGCATTATATTGGAAGAAAATGCCCGGACGCACTTACATCTCGAAAAATGAAAAGTCTGCTTCAGGATTTAGGGTTTCCGAGGATAATATCACTTTACTTTTATGTTCAAATGCATCTGGAGATAACGTTATAAAGCCCATGTTAATTAACCGATCATTAAATCCACAAGCAATGAAAGGGGTTGACAAATCAACTCTTCCTGTTTTCTGGCGAGCAAATAGAAATGCATGTGTAACAGGTGTTTTATTTCGCGATTGGTTTTACAATTGCTTTGTGCCGGAAGTGGAAGATTACTTAAAAAGAAAAAATATCAGTTTCAAGGCTTTGTTACTGGTCGATAATGCGCCAAGATACACAGAAGATTTAAATCATCCGGCTGTTAAATTAATATTTTTACCTCCTGATACGACATCAATCCTACGACCAAAAGACCAGGGAATAATTAGATTATTTAAATCATTGTATGTACGGCACACATTTGAACACATTTTAGAAAATATTGATTTTAATTCAAGCACTACCACAGTAACGGACTTGTGGAAAGATTTTTCAATTTTAAATAGCATTGAAATTATTTTGTTATCTCTGAAGGAACTAAAATGTTCTAATCTGAATGCCTGTTGGGGAAAATTATGGCCTGAAGTTGTTATTAGAGAAGACTGTTTAACTTCCGTGACAACAGAAGTAAATCGCATAATAGATATTTCCCACACTTTAGGTGGAGAGGGATTCGTCGACATGAACGAGGAAGATGTTATTGAATTAATTAATACTGGTAACCAACGCTTAGATAAAGAACAACTTATGCAACTGGCAGAGTCGTCGAAATCAAGTGGAGAAGAAAACTCTTTACAAAATTACTGTGAGCCAGAGCAACACTTTAATTTAGAAAAGTTAAATGAAGGATTAGAATTGGCAAAAAGTCTAGAAGAACATTTTACGAATAATGATCCATCAACAAAGCGCTCTGAGAAATTTAAGAGAAAATTGAAAGAATGTTTAGCTCCATATCATGAACTAAAAGAACGTTTAGAAAGTAACAATAATAAATTGTTGAAAACATAAGAAGATACCCTTTCAAATTATGAATATAATAGAGAAGAAAGAAGTGAATCTTTAAGCTATGAAATAGCACAACCAACATTTAAAAGAGGATGTCGTTGGATCCTAATTATGGATAGTTTCGACAGTGAATAAATGTAAAATAAAAAGTGTAACTACTGCTTTTATTTAATGCAAAATGAATAAGAAAACATTTTGAATTTCAATATTTGTTTGTTTTGAAGAGAAATAAAATATATTTTCACTCTTACATATTAAATATTTATTTTGCATCTTTGTTATGTATTTGTATAAGTGTATGTTTATGCCTAAGTGAACTGTATGTGAGCCGCTCATTTGTTAAAACGATAAGTTCATAAAACGAAAGATAGAAAATATGTATTGATAAATTTTTATACATTTCTTGTGAAAAAACATTTATTATTCAACGGCCATAAAAATTATATTTTTATTAATGATGTCTCCGAAGTTCAGCGAATTTATCGCAGAAAAATAACTGATCAGAAAACACGCTCCTGCGGTTCAATGTGTTGTTCTACGATGAAAACAAGCTTAAGCAATGGCATTGTTTGCACACTCAGTAAGTAATTTTACAATTTTTGTTAATAGCATAGTTTATATGGATTATTCCCAAAAAATTATACAGGTAACCCCCATATAACACAGTACTTCTATAGCATGGATTCACTTTAACACGGTTTGAGAATTGGGACACATCCTAGTATAACACGATGCTTTTATAGCAAATGTTCACTCTGACACGGTTCGGGAATTGGGTAAAACCCTTGTTCAACATAAAATGTAATAAAGTTCTTTTATATCTCTGCGAGCATTCTAATTTTTTTCGTCACTACTTTGAATGCTCTTTTAACAAATAATCCATTTAATGGTTCAATTTTACAATTGGGACCCTTTTTTTGCCTCTAAAAGCTTATATTTCAAAATTATAGATTCCTCCATTGCGACACTATTGATAGTTTGGGTGCTGCCATCTTTCTTTCATCGTTGTTTATAAATGCCTATAAACAGCAGCGCACTCCCATTGTAGCGGAGATGCAGAGCGACTGCTATTAACGAAAGCACCCAAAAACTGTTACCAGTTGATGATGCTCATTTTGAGATCATCATATAGGATGAATAATCCTCTGGTACGATATTTACTTAAATAATAAATAAGTATTTTACCCATAAAAAATGAATAATAAATCTGATTTAAAGAAAGATTTAACAGCATGTTTTTTAATTTTTGGAACCTAACCCCCCTTTTCACACTAATTCTCTGTTTCGTATAACATGGATTCACAGAACACGGCAATTTTTTGGAACAACTCCTGTGTTATGCAGGGGTTACCTATATGTGTTTCGGAAATGTTGAGTCAAATTAGTCTAGAGTCGATTAATTTTATGGAAGAAAACCTTTCAAACAGCCTTAGTCCCTAAACTGCAACGTGCAGGCTGTGATTGGCTCATGTATTTAAGTGACTCGTACAACATGGAATTCATATAACATGGAACGTATCTACCGTGTTATAGGAGGGGGGTCTACTGTATCAATCACTAACAATTATTCACTTTAAAAACACTTCTCACACAACTGTGGTTGTCATAAATATCTATGTATTAAATAGAATTTATATCAAATTAGATACAATTGGTCCTTTGTTTCTGCATTTGCATATTCAACCACCCATGGTTTGAATATTTAAAAAAGTAATTTCAGAAAGTTTTAAAGTTCAAAAATTTGAATTTGCTTGCATTTTAAATATTCTGTGTTTTATTCTATGTATTTATCATTCCAGTTATTACACAAAAGCAATCTGTAAGTGTTGTAAGAAGGAAAATGATTCATTGATGCTGATGTGTGCCATGTAGTTATATACCTGTGATGTTTCCAACATGTACAGACTTTTCTTTCTTTTTGCTATTTCCTAATGGTTTAAACAATACAGTATAAAGTGTTTAATGTACAAAACATTAATAACCAATTCACATATAGTATTTTTTAAAATGTAAATGCTGTATTATCTAGAGACAATTTAAAAGATACAAGAGTATATTCATAATACTATGATGCAAATACTATGTCATTTTATATGAGGGACTGGAGCATCTGGGCAAGTGAGGGGATTCTGCAAATACAGAGGGGTGACTGTTTTTATATTTTTTCACTTTTTTCATTTTTCTCCCTCTATGATTTTTGTTTTGAAGTTTGTTGAAAATAATTTTAAATTAGAATTAAAGATTTGAATTCTTATTTTTCTGATATGGTGTATAAACTCTTTCTATATGGCAGACGACCAAGCGGTAAAGGTAGCAACCAACTACTTTGGGGACTAGGAATAAAATCTGGACAGGTCGATAAACCACAAGAAATTTTCAGGGGACCTGGGGCCATATTCTGGTCACTTACCTTTCGTCTCTTCTTTCAGAGACAAATGATGTCAAAATGAGAGACGAAATTCATCTCTCAGAGACAATCTAGTCTTTGTTGTTCACGTCATGATTCTATTAGGTTGATTATACATGTTTGGGTTATCTGCATGCGCAACACAGTATAGAATTTTAATTAATTAAATTGTAAAATTTTTGAAAATGCAGAGTACAGAATTATAGATCACGTGGTAAGGAAAGCACTTAATTTTGATAAAGATATTTAAAAATGTTACAAAATAAAAAGAAATATCGTAATGTCAAAATATCTTGGATAATATTGTCTCTCAGGTTAATAAAACTATTTGTTAAGTTAGAAAATTGTACATACATACGGAGAA